TCCTCTCTGTTTGCCCCACCACTCTCACCATTGACCTCCTCAAGAAGGCCCTCCTAGCGATAGAGAAGAGCATAGTCGCTGTAGGAGCCTCTCGTGGTGACCCTCGCACCCCCGTCTTTGAGGGGTGTTCTCCCTCCCCCCTCTTGCCCTCTGTTGCCTCTGCTCCTGCGGCCGACCTCGTTGGTTTCGAGTCGGTCGGCGCTGCGTCTGCCCCGAGCGGGAGACGCCGCACCGGCAAGGGCAAGAGGGGCAAGGGCGCTGGAGGGGCTGGAGGGGGCGGTGGAGGTGGTAGTGGAGGCAGTGGAGGGAGTGGGGGTGGTGGTGGGAGTGGTGCCGGGGGTGGCGGCGGCGGCGGCAGCAGTGGAGGCGGCGGAGGCGGTAGAGGTGGTGGAGGGAGCAGAGACGGCGGAGGTAGTGGAGGAGGCGGAGGTGGAGGAAGCAGCGGTGGCGGCGGAGGCGGCGGCGGCGGCGGCGGAGGCGGCGGTGGTGGAGCAAGTCGCGACTTTGCGCAGAGGAGTGGCGTCGGTGGTGGTCAGCGCCAGCAGCAGCAGCGGAGTGGTGTGACCCTGTCCCCTCAGCAGCTTCGTATTGGTCCACTACGCGTCAGCGCAGTGGGGGTTTTGGTCCGTGCTCTTACGTCCTCCGTACCGGCGACCGCGCTGGTGAGCAGTGCGGAGGTCCGCACTCCACCCAGCGCTGCTATGGTCGCCTGATGGACGCGTGGCGTCGCCAGTTCCCTGAGGCGTCAGAGATCCCTCGCTGGGGAGATCTAGCTAAAGCCGGGGCTGCTATCTTTGATCTTGACTTGGATGCTATCCTTGCTGCCATGTATGCTGTTGATACTACTGTTGCTGGTGACTGTTACCTGTGTGTACCGCCTGACCCAAGCATTGAGGCTGCTGCTCTAGGTGCTGGTGAGGCTGTTGCTCTAGGTACTAGTGCGTCTGCTGCCCCAGGTGCCACTGCGTCTGCCGCCCCAGGTGCTGGTGAGTCTGCTCTCTCATGTACTACGTCGGCTCAGGCCTTCCACACCTTCACCCTGGACTCGGGTGCGTCCCGCTCCTTCTTTCGAGACCGCACCACTCTTACGCCACTCAGTCGGCCGGTCGCAGTCTCCCTGGCAGACCCCTCTGAGGGTCCTGTCCTTGCTAGCTTCTCCACTGTCTTACCGTGCCCGGCAGCCCCCTCTGGCACCCTGTCTGGTCTGTACCTCCCCTCGTTCTCTACGAACTTGGTGAGTGGAGCGGGCCTACAGGATCGAGGGGTTGACCAGTTCACTCCTGCGAGTCAGCGACTGACCCACTGCACGTGTGCTCGGGCATGCCGACACTTGGCCACATTCACCCGTCGGCCAGGGTCGAGCCTGTACACCCTTACTACTAAGTCTCCTTCTGCTGCTGAGTCTGCCCAGGTAGCTGCTTCGAGTGAGGTGTCTGCTGCAGCGTCCAGATCTGGTCCTGAGTCTGCCCCCTGCTCGTGTCGTCTCCTGTCCCACCAGACTCTCCTTTGGCACCACCGCCTTGGTCACCCCTCCTTGCCTCGTCTCCAAGGCATGGCCTCCCGTGTCCTTGTCTCTGGTCTCCCTCGGTCTCTCCCTCCCCTTCCTCCGGGGCCTGGCCCTACCTGCGTCCCCTGCGTCGAGGGGCGACACCGCCGCCCCTCAATCCTCCGAGTTTCCTCCGACAGAGGCTCCGCTGCAGACTCTCCACATGGACGTGTGGGGCCCAGCCCGCGTCAGTGGGCAGGGGCGAGAGCGGTACTTTCTGCTGGTCGTTGACGACTACTCGCGTTACACCACAGTCTTCCCCTTGCGCAGCAAGGGTGACTTCACTGAGGTGTTGATCGACTGGATCCGCGCAGCTCGTCTCCAGCTCAGAGAGAGTTTCGACTCGGACTTTCCTGTTCTGCGTCTGCACTCGGACAGAGGCGGGGAGTTTTCCTCTGCCCGTCTGGGAGCCTTCTATCGTGCACAGGGCATCCGCCAGACCTTCACGCTTCCGGCCTCTCCACAGCAAAATGGGATTGCTGAGCGCCGCATTGGCATGGTCATGGACGTCACTCGTACGTCCATGATGCATGCGGCTGCCCCCCATTTTATGTGGACGTTTGCGGTTCAGTACGCCGCGCATTAGCTCAACCTTCAGCCCCGGGTCTCCTTGCCAGAGACCTCCCCCGCCTTGCGGTGGACAGCGAAGGTTGGCGATGCGTCTGCGTTTTGGGTCTGGGGATCTCGGGCATTTGTCCGCGACTTGTCTACGGACAAGCTGTCCCCCCGTGCTGTTCCTTGCATCTTCCTTGGCTTCCCCCCTAACGCGCCTGGGTGGCAGTTTTACCGCCCCACCTCGCGCCGTGTTCTGTCCTCCCAAGATGTCACCTTTGACGAGTCGGTGCCTTACTACCGTCTCTTCCCCTACCGCACTGCGCCCCCCCCCCCCCCCCCCCCCCCCCCCCCCCCCGGCCGCCGCTCTTCCTTGCGCCACGTCCTCCCAAGGTTGACCCCCTTCCCCCTCACGGTCCTGCCCTGTCAGGTGTGTCCCAAGTAGACGCAGTCGAGCCTGTCCAGGTGGCTGTTGACTCTGGTACTGCTCGAGGTGTTGAGCCTGCGGGTGCCGGGTCTGGGGGTGCTGAGTCTTGGGGTGCTGAGACTTGGGGTGCTGAGCCTCGGGGTGCTGAGTCCGGGGGTGCTGAGCCTGGGGGTGCGGAGCCTGGGGGTGCGGAGCCCGGGGGTGCCGGGTCTGCTCGTGTGGCCGTCGGCGGTGCTTCTTCGAGGCGGGAGCCGCTCTCTCCACAGGAGCTGCGCGAGTGGTTCGCCTGCCGCTGGTGACGTGCTACTGAGTCTGGGGGTGCTGCTGGAGCTACTGGAGTTGGTCCTTCTTGAGCTGAATGTCGGTGCTGGTGCTACTGGAGGTGGAGCTGCTGGAGGTGTTGGTGCTGGTGTTTCTACTGGTGCTGGTGCGTCTGGGGGTGCTGCTGAGGCTGCTGGTGCTGACAGTCCTACTGGAGTTGGTGCTACTGGAGCTGGAGCTGCTGGGGGTGTTGGCGCTGGCGGTGCTGCTGGCGCTGGTGCTTCTGAGGGTGCTGGAGTTGGCGCTGTTGGAGCTGGAGGTGCTGCTGGCACTGGTGCCGTCCTTGCTGGTTCTGGAGGCGCTGCGCGGCCGAGGCTGTACTTCGTTCCGCTCCTGGAGCAGGTTCTTGGTCTCTCGCCCTCTCCTGGTCCTGCTCCTCCCTTAGAGTGTCCACAGACTATCCAGTCGCAGTCATAGTTACAGCCTGCCACCCCGTTGCCTTCTCCTTCTCCCTACACTGGTCCTACTGGAGGTCTTGCTGAGCGTCGTGAGCCTGCGTCTCGTCCTGCGTCGCTTGTTCGTGCTGCTCGCACCACTCGCCGTGCTGCGCGTCCGCGTCCTCCTGTGCTCCCCGGCACACACCTGATGGCACTGCGTCCTTCCACTACTCCTCTGCGTGTCCAGTTGCCGTCTCCTCCAGAATCCTCTCTTCCTTCTCTTATTGACCCGGAGTCTGACTCCCTTCGTGCTGCTAGTCCTTCGGTCACGCGTCTTCTTGCTACTGTTGTCACTGACCCTTCCTTTGAGTCCACTGCTGCGTCTGCTCTAATTGCTGAGCTTGTCGACTTCGCTGCTCGCTGTCGTCTAGACTACGCTGCCAGTCTCATTGCTGAGTCTGCGTCTGTCTGTCCTCCGTTCGTCAGGGGTGAGTGTGCTCTTAGCACGGACGTCCTTGAGGACAAGCAGGAGGAGTTCCTGTGCTTTGCGGCTGCTTTGCCCCATCGCGTGTCCACGCTGATTGCCCCTGAGCGAGACCCGGATGCACCAGACATCCCGACTCCTCGATCGTACGCTGAGGCGATCGAGGGTCCCTACTCCTCTCAGTGGCAGTCGGCCATGGACGCAGAGATGGCTTCCTGGAAGTCTACAGGCACCTACGTCGACGAGGTTCCCCCACCTGGGGCGAACATCGTCAGTGGGATGTGGATCTTCAGGGTGAAGCGGCCGCCGGGCTCTCCGTCTGTCTTCAAGGCGCGTTACGTGGCTCAAGGCTTCAGTCAGCGGCAGGGAGTTTGTTATAGTCACAGTAGGCTCCAATGTGCCTAAAACGAAAGATCGAGTGCATAGTCGGATTTCTGCACAGCGGCTTCAAACGTTCATAGCGATCTGCTCACAACTCCAAATGAGTTTATTCAACTTGGATCTGGAGCGCCTTGATGTCGCCTACAATAGGCAATTTAATTCGCACGCTTTCATTAAGAAGTGACGACACAGCGTCGGTTTGAACGAACGGCACTATGGCAGCAACATAGTCTTAGAACACAAGATAGGAAGAGTTAGGAAGAGTTACGAGTTGGGAATGACTCCCAGCTCCTACAAACCCCAAGAGCCGAGGTACAGTGATGTGGAGCAGTGCCACACTGTCCCCAACCACGAAGGGTCTCGAAACTACCCTTCACTAGGGCCTACACCAAGTGAAATGTTACACTACACAAAGTAATGTAACTATCTTCAATATCTTGAGGTGCACCCTTTTGGCGAGCTTCGAAATCACTCGAGGCTTGACACAAAGGCTCGGGCTCTTCATCACAAACTCATCATTGAGTTCTTGATGGGTCTTCTGCACACACCTGGGACACGCCGAACGTTCGACAGAGGACAAAATAAAAACCGCGCGCGAGACACAAACGACCGCGTAACACGCGTCTAGCGATATCTCGCTATTGACTCGACACACACACTCGACATCATGACTCAACATTCACACACAAATATGAGCATGAAATATATATTATCCCATGCCCTCATACCATTCCATACACACACACATGCACGCACACGGACAACAAGCCGAGTGCAAACCGTAGGGTTGCACCAACAGAGTTGACTACTTTCAGACCTTCTCCGCCTTTGTTCAAGGCGCGTTACGTGGCTCGAGGCTTCAGACAGCGGCAGGGAGTTGACTAGTTTCAGACCTTCTCTCCCACCCCGAAGATGACCACTCTTCGGGTGCTGCTGCACATAGCCGCTCAGCGCGACTACGAGCTTCACTCTCTTGACTTCAGCACAGTTTTCCTGCAGGGCAGCGTGCACGAGGAGATCTGGCTGCGCCGCCCTCCTGGCTTCACTGGGTCGTTTCCTCCTGGTACCCAGTGGAGCCTTCGGCGGCCAGTCTACGGTCTCCGCTAGGCACCCCGTGAGTGGCACGACACACTGAGGACTACACGTGTGGCTCTTGGGTTTGCTCCTTCTACTGCCGACCCGTCGCTGTTTCTGCGCACCGACACCTCTCATCCGATAATCGCTCTCCCATCCGCCCGTAGCTCTCCCTTCCGCCCGTCAGCGCGCCCGACTCGCGAGCTTTTCCTTCCGCCCGTCAGCGCGCCCGAGTCACGAGCTTTTCCGTCCGTCCGTCGCTCGCCAATCCGCACGTAGCGCTCCCCTCCGCCCATCGCTCTCCCTTCCGTCTTTTGCTGTACCTTCCGCCCGTCGCCCTCCCTTCCGCCCGTCGTTCTCCCTTCCACCGTCGCCCTTCTTTCCCGTCGTCATCCACCCTTCCGCCCGTAACCCTCCCTTCTTCCCATCGCCATCCCTTCTTCCCATCGCCATCCCTTCTTCCCATCGCCATCCCTTCTTCCCATCGCCATCCCTTCTTCCCATCGCCATCCCTTCTTCCCATCGCCATCCTTCCTTCCCATCGCCATCCCTTCTTCTCATCGCCCTCCCTGCCGCTCGTTGCAATCCCTGCCGCTTGTCCCCTCGCTTTCCCCGTCAACCTGTCTCCTTGTCCGCCGTCGCAAAGGCGAGGGTTCCCTCTCTCCCCGTCTCCTTGCTTTCCCCGTCTCCTCGCTTTCCTCGTCTCCTCGCTTTCCCCGTCTCCTCGCTTTCCCCGTTCCATCAAATGCTCGTCGCCCTCGCCTTCCTTCCCGTCTCCCTTCCCATCTCGCACATTTGTCACCCTCCCATCTCTCCCCCCACTCACTCCCTTCCTTCCACCCAACAATCCCCATCAATCCCCCACTTATACCCCCCCCCTGCCCTGCTTACCTCTCTCCCTATTCCCACCATTCTCTGCCCTGCTCCCCACCATCCTCTGCCCTGCTCTCTCCCCGGCATCTGCCCCCGTACCCCCCATCCCATTCCCTACGTAAACGCGCCCCCCCTGCCCTGCTTCCCCCCATCCTCTGACAAGCTCCTCCCCTGCTCTTCCGCGCACAGGGATAGTGATCGGTGGAGTAAGACGTGGAGAAGCACAGGGTGAAGGCAAAATGGGGCCGCGGCAAAAAATGAAGATGGGCAGAACTCTCACAAAACTCTCTCACACATCCCCTCTTCCTGCCCTCTCTTGGCCATCCCTCCAAAGGCGATCTCCTCATACCCCCTCCGCTTCTCCTCCGTCCCCCCTCCGCTTCTCCTCCTTCCCCCCTCCGCTTCTCCTCCTTCCTCCCTCCACTTCTCCTCCGTCCCCCCTCCGCTTCTCCTCATTCCCCCCTCCTCCTTCCCCCCTTTGCTTCTCCTCCTTCCCCCCTCCACTTCTCCTCATTCCCTCCTTGTTTTCCCCTCTGCTTCCCCCTGTGCAGGGACTTCACATTCTCTCTGTGCTTCTCTGTCCCCTGGTCCCCCCTGGTCCCCCATGCGCACCCCTGTGCCCATCAGGTGGTGGACGAAGCAGGCCGCTTGCTGCCTGTGATACCATAATTGACTGCCGTTCATCCTCACCCTGTGCCCGCTGTGCCCCCTATGTCCCCTCGGCCTCCCCATTCCTCCCCATGCCTCCCCATGCCTCCCTCCGTGCACCCCCTGCACCCCCTCTCGCCCGCATCAGGTGGTGGTGGAGGCGGACCGGCTGCTGCGCCAGTTCTACCACGACTGGCTGCATGCTGACGTGGCAATGAGCGTGCCAGTTCTGTGCGGCGTCATGCATGCACATGGCGGTGGCAGCGTGAGTGGTGTTCTCCCCACTCCATTCATCCACGGCCTGCAATCTCTGTGAGCCCTCAACGGTCACCTCAGCTCCTGTGCGTTGCTGCTATGTGCCGCTGCCATGCTGGTGTTACCTCATCTAAACGGGAGGCGTCCTCTCACCCTCCCCATTCCCTTCATCCATGGTTTGTGATCCTCTTGAGCCCTCAGCCGTCACCGGATGCTACGCGGTGCTGCTACATGCCGCTGCTACGTGCCCGTGCCTTGTGGTTGCTGTGTGCATTTGACCTGCAGCCACTTGACTGACGCTGCTATGAGCCATTGCCTTGCGCTCGTGTCACCTCACCGTGCTTTCACCGTGTTTGTGTCGTTGCTGCATGCGGCGCACAGCCTCTTCCTGCTGCTCTCCGCCTTTCCCCCCGCCTCGCTGCCCTTCGCCTCTGCTGAGTTCTCCTCCCACCAGCCGCAGCTCTAGCGCAGGTTGACTACGATGTTGTGCGTTCAAGACCGGCATGTGTGCTTCACCGAAGTGCTACTTACCAGCTTGAACATAGTGACTTATGAGCTGTATACTCACCACGTATGACTCGCCTTATGCCAATCCACTTGTTGGGTTCTATGGTTGGCCTTGGCGAATTATGTTGCATGTGTTTGGTAGGGACCATAACTTACACACGTAGGTTCATATTGCGCTCACTGCATCTCTTACTATTACCGTACGATATTTGTGAAAATCCTCGTCTGTTACGGTACCCAAATTCCCTTGAAAGGAATAGAGAGGCGTCTGGCTTCGGTTTCTCAGAAGTGCTGCACTCACAACACTGCCAATTGCATAATCGGAAACGTCAGCAGCCACCGCAATAGGGCCCGTATTGACATGTTGCATCACGAAGAGCTCGGGTCAACACCGAGATATGGGCATACACAATACACCCCTTCTACCACTATCATCACAGATAACCCCAGCTTCTTCAGGTACATAGGGAAGCATTTCTCACAGCCGCTAGAGTGCTCTAAGAGTGCCTCTGGCGTGCTGGCAGGCAACAGACTGCCATGGTCACGACTCGCAAGCACTGCAATGTGCAGCACCAGTTGAGGCATGCACAGATCCCATGCCTTATGTTATGGCACTACAGCATGTCGGATGGGAGAGAGTGCGAGAGAGCGACGCTCATCACTTGTGCTGGGGGATTCCAGTCGTCGAAGAGCTTGAGCATGCGCGTGTTGCTGCACGCGGGGCAAAGATCACATTTGGCGCCGATGGGGCGTGAGTTGGCACTCCCCTAGGCTTGGCAGCGGGTTGACTTGCCAGAGAATGGCGTTATCAGTGATTATCACGTCAAGCCGCTCCTCCAACATGCTCCACGCCACGTACACCTTCCGCCACACCTGCGCGCGGATGAGAAGGGAAGGATTTGAGGCGGTAAAGTGGGCAGGCGGTAAAGTGGACAGGCGATAAAGTGGGCAAGGATGAAGGAAGCAGAACAGAGGATGAGGGGAAGAGAGGGAAGAGGATGAGGGGAAGGGAGGGCACAGGATGAAGGAAAGGGAGGGCAGAGGATGAGGGGAAGCAGGGCAGGGGTAGAGAGGAAGCAGAGCAGAGGGTGGGGGAAAGTAGGTTCAGTGAAATGGCTAACACGGAGACAGGGAACAGGGAGAAAGGGAGAACCAGTGAAGGGGATGGGGGAAAGCAGGGAAGGGGATGGGGGGAAGGAGGGAAGGGGATGGGGGGAAGGAGGGAAGGGGATGGGGGGAAGCAGGGAACAGGATGGGGGGAAGCAGAAAAGGGGTTGGGGGAAAGCAGGGCAAGGGTTGGGGGAAAGCAGGGAAGGGGATTGGGGAAAGCAGGGAATGGGATGGGGGGAAGCAGGGAAGGGGATGGGGGGAAGGAGGGAATGGGATGGGAGGAAGCAGGGAACAGGATGGGGGGAAGCAGGGAACGGGATTGGGGGAAGCAGAAAAGGGGTTGGGGGAAAGCAGGGCAAGGGTTGGGGGAAAGCAGGGAAGGGGATTGGGGAAAGCAGGGAACGGGATGGGGGGAAGCAGGGAAGGGGATGGGGGGAAGCAGGGAAGGGGATGGGGGGAGGAGGGAAGGGGATGGGGGGAAGCAGGGAAGGGGATGGGGGGAAGCAGGGAAGGGGATGGGTGGAAGCGGGGAAGGGGATGGGGGGAAGCAGGGAAGGGGATGGGGGGAAGCAGGGAAGGGGATGGGGGGAAGCAGGGAAGGGGATGGGTGGAAGCAGGGAAGGGGATAGGGGGAAGCAGGGAAGGGGATGGGGGGAAGCAGGGAAGGGGATGGGGGGAAGCAGGGAAGGGGATGGGTGGAAGCAGGGAAGGGGATGGGGGGAAGCAGGGAAGGGGATGGGGGGAAGCAGGGAAGGGGATGGGGGGAAGGAGGGAAGGGGATGGGGGGAAGGAGGGAAGGGGATGGGGGGAAGCAGGGAACAGGATGGGGGGAAGCAGAAAAGGGGTTGGGGGAAAGCAGGGCAAGGGTTGGGGGAAAGCAGGGAAGGGGATTGGGGAAAGCAGGGAATGGGATGGGGGGAAGCAGGGAAGGGGATGGGGGGAAGGAGGGAATGGGATGGGGGGAAGCAGGGAACAGGATGGGGGGAAGCAGTGAAGGGGATGGGGGGAAGCAGGGAACGGGATTGGGGGAAGCAGAAAAGGGGTTGGGGGAAAGCAGGGCAAGGGTTGGGGGAAAGCAGGGAAGGGGATTGGGGAAAGCAGGGAACGGGATGGGGGGAAGCAGGGAAGGGGATGGGGGGAAGCAGGGAAGGGGATGGGGGGAGGAGGGAAGGGGATGGGGGGAAGCAGGGAAGGGGATGGGGGGAAGCAGGGAAGGGGATGGAAGAAAGGAGGGAAGGGGATGGGGGGAAGCAGGGAAGGGGATGGGGGGAAGCAGGGAAGGGGATGGGGGAAAGCAGGGAAGGGTGACAAGTGTGCACCATGGGAAGGGAGACGGGAGGGATGGCGAGGGCGATGGGGAGAGAGGAGGACGGGGACTGCGAGGGGACGAGCGGGAGGAAGGGCGACGAGACGAAGGGAAGGCGACGGGCGGAAGGGAGAGCGACGGACGGAATGGTGGGCGACCGGCGGAAGGGAGAGCGACGGACGGAAGGGTGGGCGACCGGCGGAAGGGAGAGCGGCGGGCGGAAGGGTGGGCGATGGGCGGAAGGGTGGGCGACGTGCGAAAGGGAGGGCGACGGGCGGAAGGGAGGGCGACGGGCGGAAGGGACGGTGACGAGAGCGACGTTCGGATGGGAGGGCGACGCGTGGAAGGTGGAGCAACGAGCGGATGAGAGGGGACGGGCGAAAGGCAGAGAGACGAGCAGGGCGACGCGCGGAAGGGAGGGCGACGAGCGGAACAGAGGGAGGCGAATGGAAGGGAGCGACGGTTGGAAGTGTGGGCGACAAATAGAAGGGAGCGCGATCGTGGACAACGCACGAGTAACGTGAGCCAAAGAACTGAAAGCGTCGTGGGCAAGTGAGGGCGAATGGGGGAACCTAAGCGACCAACAACCTAGCTCTAGACCAGGGAGAATATAGCAGCAGCATCTTGCGGGTGTTCGAACATGAGTTGTGTGCAAAAACGAAGTGACTTATTGGGCGTGAATGACGGGTGAACTATGTCTAGTATGCTTGACAATTAGTACAAGATGGTTTTCAAGTTCAGTTCAAGTGAACAGTGCTGCCTTGCCTGCTGACCGTAATCTCGATATGACTTTGAGTGTCGCTGGCCAATCACAGATCACTATCGTGAGAGAATGCTCCACTTCGGGAGGTAACATGGTTTTTGGCGAATTCATATTCAAGAATCTTGAAAATGAAAACAGCCATGTAGTACTCGGGCTTTAACTGACCGAAGGCAATGCGACAGCAAGGATATATAGCTAGCTCGATATTGAGCAGTTTCCCATGTCGTTGTGTCAATTCGCAACAATAATTACAGATAATGTAACCTTTACTATTCCTTTTAATCATACACAAAGCTTGTCTCTCTTTGCTCTTCTCAACGTATCTTGTTCTCACATAATAGTGAAAGGTGATTTAATCAGTCCACAAATACGCTTGTGCTAATACATCACCATTCTAAGTCTTTGGTCTTGAAACGATCCTAAGGGCTTTACCCAGCTCAACACATCTGAGGTGATCCGTGATGACATAGCATTTCTCTATGTGAGGAGCACCCTAGTCGTGGCAGTCTATGCTTTAGGTGTCATCAGAGATAATATATTTTCATACTCAGCGACGCTGAATGGGGTGCAGTTTGCGTTTCTGGTCGTGAGGAATTGTGGTGTGGAGATGGTCAGCTGTTGTGCATACATGGTGAGCATGCATGGGGTGGTGAACATGCATGGGGTGGAGAGCATGCATGGGGTGGTGAGCATGCGTGGGGTGGTGAGCATGCATGGGGTGGTGAGCATGCATGGGGTGGAGAGCATGCATGGGGTGGTTAGCATGCATGGGGTGCTGAGCATGCGAGGGGTGGTGAACATGCATAGGGTGGTGATCATGCGTGTGGTGGTTGGTGATCATGCATGGGGCAGTGAGCATGGGGTGGCGAGCGTGCGTGGGTTGGATATCACGTTTGTAGTGGTGAAACATGCATGGGGCGGTGGTCATGCATGAAGTGGTGGCTGAGAGCGATTGGGAGTGCGAGAAGGAGCGGTCAGAATGCGGGTGGGAATAGGTGAGAGGGTGATTGGGAATACGGATGGAGAATGCCAGACTGTTGTTCAACTTCCGAGGCACGTTCTGTTTCATCCGAGCTGGTTTTGTTTACACAGCATTGAGGACAGAAGTATTTAATAAAATTGTTTTCGTATTTGCAATAACATAGCTAGTACACAACAATTTATGTACAATGAAACCCACAAAACGATCCGACTCACTCGTCGTCGTTAATGAATTTCCCTGTACCGGGGTTGATTGCGGCGACGAAGAAGAAGGCGATGCTAGCAAGCAGCAGCGGCTCGAGCTCCCACACGGGCACGCCGATCTCGATGTTGAGCTGCGCCAGCGCGCCCCTGCCCGTGATCACCTCGCCGATCAGGCTCGCCGCAAACCCTAACTGCGCCAGCCGCCCCACGAACAGCTCGTTCGCCTTGGTGAATCCGAACAGCGGCCCGTCCTCGCTCAGCCCCAGCGCCGCCTTGATGCTGCCGGGCTTCACGGGCGGCCCCACCGGCTCGTCGTCCACGAATCGCCCGCGGTCGCCCAGCCCACCGATGGCGCCGAGCACGGTGAAGGCGATAAAGAAGAGCAGCAGCGGCTCGGTCTCCGTGATGGGGATGCCCGTCTCGATGTTGAGCTGCGACAGAATGCCTGCGCCCGTGATCGCCTCGCCCAGCAGCGACGCCGCGAAGCCCAGCATGGCCACGCGCCCCACGAACAGCTCGTTCGCCTTGGTGAACCCGAACCCGCCCGACGTCCCGAAGATGCCGTCCTCTGTGCGCAGATTCGTCGCGGGGACGCTCTTAGCGGGGACGGCGGCTTTCCGCGAGCTGAAGAGCGCGGTGACGCCTAGGCCGCGGGGGGCTGCTAGTTGGGGAACGGCGGGGAGGCTGCGGGTGGCGAGCTCGGTGCCTCTGACGGCAGAGCTGAAGGAGAGGCCTGAGAAGACCTGACGAGAAGCGAGTGCGAAGGCCATGGATGTTATGTCGAAATGAAATGAGTAGCGCGTGGAGAAATGCTGTGAATTACTAGATGAAGGTGGTTTCGAAGTGGTCTGTGATGGGTGAGAAATGTGCAGAACTGAATTTGTACAATGAGGAGAAAGTCAGGCGAGGCGCGGCATGTCGGTTGCGCATGTCATGTGACCTGTGGTGGTTCTGTGTGGGGCTTGTTCGCTTTCAGCGCAGCGCACTGCACCTGGCGCAACCTTTGGGGAACCTGGGCTGAAGATTCTGACGTGGCCGGACTTGGGCGCGAATTCGTCGTGAGGGACGTGGACGTCCTTTCTGATGCTCTAGATCCTCCAGTAGTTTTGCACCACGAATGTTTTGACTAGCCGACGTGGTAGTGCGATGTTGGCTAAATGCTGCTGACATGGACATGAGAAGTTGCGGGTTCCATTCCCTGGGCTATTTTCGTGGTCAGCAGCAGCACAGCGAGCTCTCTTCGGCGGGAAAATCGGGCTGCTCCTGCGAATTTCGAAATGACTTCCGCAAAATTCCCCCATCGAACTCGACAACAGGCTTCGCGATATCCGGTACAAGCTGGAGGCTCTGAATAATGGAAGGCATAAAAAGGAACATCGACACCATTCAACTATTTTTGTCTCAACGCAGGTGCCCACCATGGACAAATGAATTATCACCACAACTCTCACATTGAGATGGTATGTATGCTTCTAAACTGAGCCAGCCATGCCTCGACCAATCTAATCATCGCCCTACCCGGACCAGCAACCTCGGCCTTTTTCCTACTTCCTACCCAATGCACCTCGCTCTCCTCCAAACCACTCCCAAGCCCACCTACCGCCACCTCAGCATTCCCATAATCCTCCATGCATCCCTCATACAGCACAATCTTCTCTCTAGGATTCGGCAGTGTTGACAAAAGACAGCATATGCCGGCCGCCAGACAGCTCGCATCAAATGCATTGGCACTGCGTGTGCGGCGGGAGAGGCAAGCGAGGGAGGGGTCGAGCAGGAGGAGGCGGAGGTGGGAGAGGGAAACGAGGACGAGCAGCTGCACTGTCAGAACACAGTCGTTGCTGCAACTGCTGGTGCTGGTCGTGCTGGTACTGGCAGCAGCAGTGTCAGGCGAGAGACTGCTGGTAGCCGCAGTAGCAGCGGCAGCAGTGTGAGCAGGAGCAACAGCGTGTGGGTGCAGGGAGGCCAGCAGGCACTCCACGGACCGGGCAGCAGCAGGGGTTTCACACCCTGTGGCAGCGCATGCAGCCATGCGCACCAGCCCTCGCACGAGCCGCACCTGACCCGCCTCCGCCAGTGCCCTCGCGACACCTGTCACCGTCCCGGCAAAATCTCCCATATTCTCGCCAGGCCCTCTTTTTGCCGAGGAGGGAGCAGTTGCAGCCACCCTGCCTGCACCGGCCCCAGGTTCGCCTGCTGCTGCCCCCGCCTTCAATGCACCATCCTTTCCTGCGCCTCCCACCCCGCTCCTGCCTGCTGTGCTAATGCTTCCGTGCCCTCCTACCCCTGTGTCACACGCCTCTCCCTGGGCCATTGGTTGGGCAATCCCATGCTCCGCTCGCCCATACGCTGCCAACACATGCCGCCACATAGAAACCGCTGACTTAGCTGCCCTTCCCACTGACGCTGCTACCTCTGCCTCACCCCGACCTCCTCCCCCTCCTGATCCTGCCACCTTAGCTTTTCGCACATGCCGCTGCTCTCCCCCCCCCACTTCCTCTCCCTGCTCACACCGCTGCACCCCTCCCTCCCTCAGCTCTTCGACCAGCCAAAGCAACACCCGCCTCCTCTCCTTCTCCATAGCACTCACCACCTGCACCGCCCGCCTCAATCGCTCCTCCTCTGCTCTCCTCAGCGCCCAGTCCAGAGCCACAAGCCCCTCTGCTGTTCGCGCAACGCCTGGCCCCTCTTCCCCTGCTCCTGCTGCACCTTCCCCGGTCAGACTGGCAACGCCGCCCGCTAAGGCTGCATGTGGAGGAGCAGAGGCTGTATGGGTGGTGCCAGTGGCAGCAGCAGGAGGGTTGCTGGGAGGGGTGCTGGGAATGCGGCCAGTGGCAGAGAGGCAAGAGGCGAGGCGGAGGATGAGGGGGAGGGAGAGGGAGGGCAGGCCCGAGGGGAGGAACCATGCAGCCAGGGGTGGGAGGAACATGGCGTGGGAGGGGTGCGAGAGGACCAACAGCGATGACAACGCAGCTTCCAAGAAGGTTCCACCATTGGCAGAGGTGGAAGGGTGTGACCTGTAACCGCTTGTTCCTTTTCTCTCTGTCTCCCCACGCGCTTGCTGCAGGGCCTGCAGCAGCAGGGGCTGCACGGCAGTGTGCCAGAGGAGAGAGGGAGACGAGGGAGAGAAAACTGATTCCGAACCCCCACCACTACCTCCTCCTCTACCTCCACCCACCCTTGCAGCCGCTAACCTACTCCCACTCCACCTTTCACTCCCGCTGGTGCTCGTTACAAGCACATCTTCAAACAGGCACGTGCAGTACTCCCACGCACCCAGCTCCCTCTCCATCTGCGCCACCCGCCTCTCAAACCCCTCCCTTCTCCTCCTCTCCCCACCACCTCCCCCCTCCTCCTCCGCCCCTTTCCCCTCACCCCCCTCCCCATCCACACCCCCTCCCTTCCCCCCCCAGGACCACAGCCCCGCCCAGCCACTGCCCTTGCCCCCATCCGCCTTTCCCTCCCCCCCCCGCTGCCTCAGCCCTGCGCCGTGCAGGGCTTTAAGCGCCTCAGAGAAGCCGGTGTGCAGAATAGAGGCTGCATGGCGCCTGAGCATGAGTCGCAGTGCCACCACCACGGCATGGCACGCTCCCGCTGCCCACTCGTCCCTGCTCTTCATGCCACCAGTGCTACTCGCACCAGTGCTACTGGAATTACGAGAAGTGCCAACTGCAGTGGTGGAATCAGGAGGACGGTTAGAGGGAGCAGAGCCACTAGAGGTACTGGCAACGACGGCAGTTGCACCATCAGCCATGCCATCAGTGCCAGCATGAGCAGCAGCAGCAGCAGCAGCGGCGGCGGCGGCGGCGGCGGCTGCTGGAGCAGCAGTGACACTCCGTCTAGCGCCTCCCTCCCTCCCTATGAACGGCAGCCCCTTGGCCTCAAACGCAGCCACGCCCGCAGAGAATCCCGCCACAGCAGCCCGTGCTCGACCCATGGCCTGCCGGAACACAGCCTGCCCATGCACCCGCGCAGCAACCTGTGCCTTGCTCTCACCACCCTGCCCCTCTGCCCCCTCACCCAGCCCCCCTTGCCTGCCCTGCGTGCTCGCTACCCCCTCTCCTGCTGTGCTGTCTGTGTTGAGGGAGTGGGTGGCGAGGGCATGGGAGGGCGGTGGGAGGAGGGCGAGCGTGCATGCGTGCATGAGGCTGAGCACACTGGCCGGCACCACCGCTATTACTGCTCGTGACACACACCGCAGATGCCTCTCCAGATACTCCCCCCTCCCTCCTGCTCCTGCTCCTGCTGCTGCTGCGGTGCCTGCAACGTCTGTTGCTGCTCCAGCTGCTATTGTTCTTCCAGCTCGTGCCCTGAACTCACCACCACCGCCAACACCACCAGCACCAGCGGAGGCAGCAGAGGCCCGAGCATGAACATGCTTACCTGTGCCACCAGAGTCCGCACTGCTGGAGCCAGCAGTACCAACGCCTGCTCCAGCAACTCCTGACCGCATCAACACCAGCAAGCACCCCACCTGCCCCAGACACTCCGGCTGCAGCCTCACCCGAGCCTGCAGCCACGGCAGCAGGCTCGGCAGCAGCGCCCAGAGGAACCCAGGCTCGGCAGCAGCAGAGAGCGCTGCAAGGTGGTCAGAACGAATGGCCTGCACTAGAGCCATGTCCTGGAGCAGGCGACAGGTGGCGTGCAGGGATTGGCCGGCGAGCGGGTGCGACTGAATGTGGTGCAGGGAGGCAGCGTCTGCGAGGGCGAGGGAGAGCTGCTGCAGGCTGGCGGGCGTTGAGGGCGCGTCTGGGTGCTGCCAGTGCGACACCTGTAGACACACATTGGGGTGGTAAAGAAGAAGAGAGGAAGATTGGAAGAAGGGACAGGATGGAAGGTGTGCCAATGAGGTACCCGGGACAAAGCATAAGGGGTGGCCGCCCGTGTGTAAAGGAAGGGGATTGCACGTAGAGGCGGTAGCGGAGAGGGGGGAAGATAGACATGTCTGTTCCTTATGAATGACAGAAACAAAAAACAAGTGTATGCGCATGGGATTGGTTGCCATCATGCACATTCTTGTAATGGGTAACCGAGTGTACTTTAGCTGAGGGTGCTTGCCGTAAAAAACATTTTCCTGTCTTTATCATCTAAGAGCACCGTTGCACTCACCTGCCCTCACCTACCTTCACCTTCCCCTCACCTGCCATGACAGTCGCTGAAACCACTCCCCAATGCTCCCATCCGCCCCATCCTTCCACCCCATACCCGCCATCCCCTCCCCCCCATCTCCCACCCCTCGCCTATCCCCTCCTCTGCTCCCAGTCTCAACTCCCCCTCTGTCTGCACCATCCGCTGCGCCTCTTTCCCCTCCCTCCACACCCTGCCCGCCCACAAACAGCTGAGCCAGGCCGTCCAGCCGTGCGCACGCCGCCTGCCTCAGGCAGTGCCAGCTGTCCTCTCTGCGAGCAATGATAGCGGAGAGACACGTGGCGGCCTCTGATTGGAGCTCAGCGAACGAAAGGAGGAGAGTGAAGAGCGGATCGTGGTCCGAGGGAGGGGGGATGGGAGGAGGATGAGGGACAATGGTGGTGGAGGAGGAGGCTGGTGCTGCAGGAGCTCGTTTGCTCCAACCACCAAACCAGCTGCTCCTGCTGCTGTTTCCGCTGCTGTCAGATCTGCCTTGCTGTACCGAGCCCACAGCCACTCCACCTGTTACTTCCGGCAACAGGAAGCCCGCAGCTACTTCAGCAGCCACCTGGCTTGCCTCCGACCAGCCAGGGGATGACAGGCCAGCAGCAGCAGCAACGCGAGCACAGGATTGTGCGTGGAGCTGGGCTGAGCGGGCAAGACGGTGGGTGGTGAGGATGATAGGCAGGGAAAGGTGCAGCGTGAGAGAGGCGCGGTGCTGCAGCAGCCACCTGAGGAGTGCGGCTGTGTGGCGGATGAGGGAGAGGATCTCCCGTGCACTGCGTAGCACTGCCAGGCCAGGCACGGAGCAGAGCGAAGAGGAGGAATTAGAGCTTGAATTTGTACTACTGCTGCTGCTGCTGCTGGTACCAGTGGTGTAAAAGGTGCTGGTGCTGGTATTGCTGCTTTCATCATTAGCAGCAGCGCCAGCCGCACTACCACGAGCAACCCCACTGCCCACATGCTTGCCACCCCACAGCTCCTCCTCCCACCCCGACGCCCCCTGCTGCTTCAGCCGACCCATGGCCCTGCCCACAGCCTGCTGCACCCCTGGCAGCACCTGCACCAGCGCTTGAGCCACGTGCAGGATAGAGGTTGGCGAGAGGTGCAGGGTGAGAGCTGAGTGGGCGGCAGGGAAGTGCTGCCAGGCTATGGAGAGATCCAGGGAGAAGCCGAGGAATATGGGCACCACCCATGTCAACCCGCCCACTGCTGCTGCCCCTGCTGCTGCTCCTGCTCCTGCTCCTCCTGCAGCTGGGTCATCAACACTTCTTCCAGCTCCTACTGCTGCTACCACACCTGCGCCACCTGCCCCTCCTCCTCCACCATCGTCGCCTCTGCTTCCTCCCTGCTGCTGCTGCGGCGGCGCCCGTTGCTTCCAGAGGCTCCAGCCGCCACCAGCAGTGGCAGCAGCAGCAGCAGGCGGCACAGAGGAGGACGAGGGGGAGGAGGGGGGCAGGGCGAGCAGCCTGCAGCGGACGAGCTCGTGCATGAAGGGCAGGTCGGCGCAGAGCGAGGAGGGGTGGAAGAAGAGCAGCAGGATGAGCGACGACGTGGAGGGGAGAGAGGCTGTCACTGCTGCCACTGCGGAGAGAGGGTCATGGGGTGTATGCGCTGCTGCTGCTCCTGCTGCTCCTGCCTGTGAGGGGGCTTGCGTTGGAGGGAAGGAGGAGAACGTGGATGCATGCACAGAGGACGAGTGGGAGGACGAGACAACCGAAGGGGCTAGATTGAAAGTGGAGGACGAGGCAGGCGAGGAGTCGATGGCAGCAGCTTGTTTCCTGAGCAAAGACTGGATGGCCATCCATGTGACGTCAGGCGGGGGAGCAAAGCGGGAGAAGAGCTGCTCCAGGCTGTGGGTATCCGTGGGCGCTATCACACACGGCAGTGACAGAAACGCAGCAGTCTCCGCCCCTCCAATGCCCAGACCAGAACCCTCTGACCCCAATCCTGATCCCAGAGCTACGCCCCAACCAGAGTCCAAGCCTGAAACAAGGCCCAGCTTTTCGATGTCAAAACACTCTCTTGGGAATGGAGACCACAGAAAGACGTCGGTATCACTGCTGGCACTGCTGCTGCCATCATGCGCTTTGCTCCCCAGCTTCTTGCCTCCTGCAGTCCCCTTATAAGCCTCCGGTTCCCCCGACCCTGCTCCTGTGGTTCGGCACATCTGGCATAGGTCGTCGAAGTCGCGAGTCAAGATCTCACCCAGGGCCTCCCCCGAGCCTGGCCCGGAGGTTCGGCACCAGTGGCGGTACGCAGCGATGAGTAGGCGCTCACGTGATTGGTTAGGAAAGAGATGGTGGAGGAGGAGAAGCAGAAGTGCGTGAGTGTGGAGCACCTGCGGAATGGGAGTCCAAATAAAAAAAACAATAAGCACAGAAAGAGTTATGGACAATACAACAATGTTATATAATCATCTACAGGAACAGGGCAAAAACCAGTGCTGTTCAGTTATGCCTTCTGCATCCCAGCCTAGCCTTTCATCGTATTGCATACCATCCTCAGCTGCCTGACCTGCTTCTAGTGCTTCTTAAGTATTCTGTATCATTCAAATCAAATCTCCTCTTTCCACCCATGCGTTCGACGCCCTTACCTGCAGCAGCAGCGACTGCATCTCGTCCCCCTCATCTCCACCCACCACGCCTTCCAGCGAGCTCCCCAGGAACAAGCCACGCCGCAGCCCTTCGATCGTCTGCCTGAGCGCGCGGTACAGCTTCAGCACAGCCGCCAGCAGCAGCACGAATCCCACCAGCTGCTCGCCGTGCGCCGTCCACCACGCGCGCTCCGCGCTCCACTCGTCCTGGCGATCGCGCAGCTCGCGCTCGCGGTCGTCCGGCGCGCGCAGGTACTCGAAGTCCCATAGGGGGAAGGGGAGATCGGGAGACGGCGAGGGGATTTGCGTGGGATTGAGCTGAGTCGATGTTGATAGAGGTGGTGGTGCAGGGAGAGTGATCGAACGGAGGAAGTCTCGCGGTAGGTTGGCGCGGAAACGCAGGAGCTCGGAGAGGAGAGAGTTGCCGAAATCGAGGAGGGAGCGGAGAGCGGTGGCAGCGGCGTTATTAGGGGACGTTGATGTCATTGCCGATGGTGGCTGAGTCCAAGGCTCCTAGGCCATAATCTAAAAACTAGGGTGCTGGATTGGTACATGTGCTTGATCCGAATCTGCAAGCATTGCTCCTCAGTGACTGACTGATGAAGTCAGAAATGGTGCATGGTGTCTCTGAATAATGTGCGAAACTGTGTAATGTTCCATGAAGTTGCGAAGAGTTAACCTTCGGTTATATACGGTTTGGCGGTAGAGAGCTGTACATCCTGTTGAAGTCATTTGCTTGAGTCGTTTGCGAGAGAGAAAACCATTCCAGTTTCGTCAATTTTGGGAGTAAACAATTCGGTAATGCTTCGCGAGTTTTTTTTGCGACGAAAATGTTGAACGAACAACCAGGGAAGTGGTGTACTAGCTGCCAGGTTACAGAATTCACCCCTCAGAAAACTTCCCTGGTCTTCACTCCCATCTCGGTTGCCATAAATTCCGAGTCTTCTTTTCCTGGCCAAGTCATTTGAAATCATCTCACCACAATCACACAACACTTCAAAATGTCGTTCACGCTCGATGACTTGCTTGGCTCAGCAAAGTCTGATGGCTTTGAGATGTTTGGGGCCCGCACGCCCCAGCCATCGACCTCGAAAGCAGCTGGTGCAGGTACGTTTCGCGTATTGATTGTCTTAATCCGTTCAATCTTCTTTGTTTGACGTTTGGCCACCTTTTCAGCTGACGACATGTTTTCTGACTGGAAAGCGAGTGACAAACCTAATAAACCGGGGGAGAATATGAAAAAACCCATCAATTTCAACAGCCTGTAAGATACGATATGTGATGCCTGAGAATGTCTTCTTGATGACTTGGTCTTTCAACACCGTTTGTTTGCAACGTTCAGGGTGGATTTTGACCTCGATAGCGGTTTCAGTAAGTTCGACATTTCCATGAGTGATCTCGATTTCGCCGATACGAATCCAGGCTCTCCAAAAGCTGAACCGGCAAATGCGAGGTAATACACAATAACTGTCTCTCCTGGGTTGTGCATTGCCTAACGTCGCCGTATCTTTCAGGCCAAAGCTTGACCAAGGTCTTTCGCTCGCGTCATCCATGAATGATGAAGAGAAAGACGAATTTGAAACTGAGATTGGAGATTGCGAAACTTCCGGATTCCCTGAAAATGAAAAGCATACGGATGAGCCAACTCAAGACGCTAACGCGTTGAGTCAAGACATTCCAGAACTAAATGAATCCAAGATAGAAAGTCCGAGGGAAGTCAACACTACTGACAACGAGGCAACTGCTCGAAACAGCCCAGCAAAGACTTCAAACAATTATTCTAACCCAGCAACGAGTGGTCAGACGAGTCTAGACGTTCAGCAGGCTGAACCGCTGGAGCCCTCTGAGGCTACGGAAGCTCTGAAGATTTTCGAGCCTGTTGAGCCGCTGGAGTCCTCTGAGCCTGATGAACCGCCAGAGTTCCCTAAGCCTGCTGAACCCCTGGAGTCTTCCAAGCCTGCTGAGCCTCTAGAGTCTTTCAAGCCTGCTGAATGTCTGGAGACTGCCAAGCCTGCTGAGCCTCGAGAGTCTTCCAAGCTTGCTGAACCTCTGGAGTCTTCCAAGCCTGCTGAACTTCTGGAGTCGTCCAAGCCTGCTGAACTTCTGGAGTCGTCCAAGCCTGCTGAACTTCTGGGGTCGTCCAAGCCTGCTGACCCACAGGCAACCAAGAAATCTGCACAATTGTAAGCACCTTAATTCTTGATGGTCACGTGTTTCTTCAACCATTACTTAACTCCCCAAGTTCGTCTGGCAGAAACGCCAATTCTCAAGCACCAAATGGCGATTATTCTGAAGTGTTGATGGCAAAGAAAAGCATGCCTGAACTGAATAAGCCATCTGCTGCATCCGATCCCGGCAAAGGGTATGCCGCAACATCTTATTTCTACCTCAATTTGTTTGGAATTGTATTGATTTTGTTTTAAGTGCAGAGGGATGTCAAGAGCGTCATTGAGTCAGACAAGAATGAACGTGAATTTAACTGGACAGTCAGCTCGACTGGCTAACACGAATGTCAAGCTACTTGGACAAGTTCGTGCGGAATCAGCGGTTCCGGCTGCTTCCATGTTTAAGGCGAGAGGTGCACAGTCTACAATGCCAACAGCGAGTTCTCTTGGACAGACAGCTGGTGTTGGAAGGCCTATGCCCGGCCGCATCTCCTCTCTCAGCTTGAACAGAGCTACAAGCTTGCCGCTCAGTCGAAATGCCCCCAAAGATCCCAGCTTGAATTTGCCCCGTCAACCAGCGGGACAGCAGAGATCCATCAGCAGCACCGTCCAAGAAAAGAATTCTGTGAAGCCACTTCCCATTTCATTGCGCACGAGCATCAAGCCTGGGGGTGAATCGGCCACAGTCGCAAATCGTACTCCTTTAAAGGTAAGCCTTCACATTGTCTTTTACTGGTCTCGAAGTACATGTTCTGATATTCTGCCTTCTGTGACATTTCATTTAACGCTAGATATCAACAAGCACCAACCGCCTTTTCTGTGAGGGCAAAACTACAACTGAGAATGGAGCTCTGGGAAACAGGATCAGCAGTTTGCGAAAGTTGCCTTCGATTTCCAGCAATCCCACCATGGCAACATCAGCTCAGCCTCGGGTGGCTCATGTCCAAGTTAAGGAAGCCTCGCCGGTCACATCAGCTAAGCCCTCAGCAATGGAATCTCAGCTGAATAACACATTCGTTTTCGGGCAGCATCCTGCATCTGCACTGTAAGAAGTCGAGCTACTGTATGGGTTGCCACTTGCCAAGGGAGCAATTTTCAAATTTGATTTTGATTCTTCACTATTGGCCACAGGGAAAACAGCACATCGCTCAGCAAGGATGTGGCGAATGTCTCTAAGCCTGATGCACAAGAAATTCTTCTTATTGAACCAGCTGAAGAAGAGCAAGACAAAGGTGACATGACTCTATCCTTTCCTGCTGCTGTAAAAACGATCAAGGTGAGCACAATTTGATGCACGTTACTTCTTGGCAAGGCATCTTCTGTTGCTCACGTTATTGACTGCTTTCGCAGGAGCAAGACGGCGTGCAGAACATGGGGATGGTGGTCATGCAAGCTGGCGGTGGACAGCTTACGGAAATCCAGTACAAAGGAATTGGAGAAACGAGCCAAGAGTTTGAAGGAGAGGCAACAGGAGTTGATGAGCTTGATCAGGTAAGCTGAGAAGGGTTTGTCATTGTTTTCCAAATGGACCTGATTTGTCACTCTGTTTACCATTTTTGTGCAGGTGTACAGGATGCTGCAGCGTAAGCATGAAGAGGCTAAAGAGCTACTCGTGAGGGTGATGATCAACCACAACCTGTTGGTGCGGATGAATGAGAAATACAGCTACGAGAACATTGAGAAGAAGCGGCAAGATATTCTGAGCTTGATTTCACGTGGCACTGCCGAGGAGTAGGGGCTTTCTGTTCACATATGGAATTAACTTTGCACAATGGAATGGACCTGCTTATGATGCTTTGAAGATTTTCCGACTACCAACCAACCATCAATTGCACCCAAGGAAAAATCATGATTGTGAAAGCTTGCGATTTCCCTTGCAAATGCAACGTCTCATTTCAACTGGGTAGTACAAGATTTTTTTGTCCAAGCATTGTACAACATAATAGCTGTTGGAAACAATCGGCCCTAAAGCGCTTCTATCGTGTCGAAACACCAAGGCACAAGCGAAGCAAATCATATCGAGGCACTAGCGAGTCAACCCTTGGAGGTTGAAGTAACCGCTGGAGGTTACGCGAAGGTCAAAGGTCAGCGACCTTTGACTTGACAAATACAGCGCGACAGCAAGGACACACAACTAACTCGATACTGAGCCGTTGCCCGAGTCTTCACTGTATCGAACCGCAACAGCAACATCAAAAGCAGTTACAACCGTATCTCTTCGTATTCCTTGTACTCTTATATAATCTTGTATCTCTTTGATTTAATCAACTTACTTTGCCCTCACATACCAGCGCAAGGTGGTTCAGAATCTTCTCTTAAACGCTTCCGCTATTACATCACTTTACCTAGAGTTTCATCCTACCAAAGATCCTAAGGGGCATTTCAGCCCAACAATAGCTACCATGCATGTCATGCTAGGGTGGGGGGGCGGGAAACTTGAAATTGAAAGTTCGAAATGAAAAACGTGGGTGAAGGCCAAATGGCCTTCATACCGACTTTCATACCGAAAAAGAGGGGAAGTAGCGTTTTGCTGAAGCCTTTGCTTCGGTAAAATTCGCTTCGCTATTCACAATACACAGTTTTGGAAAGTGTTTCACGTTCTATTTTTTTACATAATAACACTTGCCGGACCAAAGCCAGAAGGAACAAGTCACGCTTAACTATGCGATTGCCAGCTAACACAAGCATGGATTCGGTAGGACAACTGCAATCCTCCCAACCATGCAATAACAGGATGCTACCCAGCAGAGGGATGAACCATGACGGCGGTGAAAACCGTTTGGTGTAAAAGAAAGCAACCTACTCCAAAGACCAGACCGAAGTATCTACGATATGCATTGCAGTTTCCATTCAGATAGTAGTTTCCATGTCTATGTAAGTATCACAGTCTCCACTCAGAGAAGGCACCAGGGTTGGGATGTAGCCATTACCATGAAACTTCTGTTGCACAGTAAGTCTGCTCAAATATGCCCCTCCCCGGAGATCTCCACTCTGGCTATTACCTCCAGTGCTGCAGCATTCTCCATCACCATAGTGGTTACCATAATGGTTACCAATGTTAGCTGTCAGTGTATCGCTGTCCTGCTGCTCCTGCTGCTGGATGTCAACAATTATTGGCGTTTTTTTTTTGCTGCCACTGTTGAGATTGCTTTCACCTGCATCACCCTCATCAGTAGCTGCATCACCCTGAATCTCCTCCTGAATCCCCTGTTGCCTCACCTCCCCCCTGGCACTGACAAGGAATGACGCCACAACATCACTCTCCCTCCGTACCACCTGGAACGTCGATCCCATGTCACTCTCCCTCCTTCCCACCCCTCCATACCCGACTCCACCCATTCCCATATCCATTCCCCCCATACCCAAGCTCCCTTCCCCTCCTCCCTCTCCTCCCTCGCCTGCCACCCCTCCCACACTGCTGCTCCAGATGCCTGTGCTGTCATCCACCCCCTCCTCTCCCCACAGATCCCCCACCGTCTCCTGCATATCCAAAGCACTCTCCAGCTCAGCAGCAATCCAGCTCACCGCACTACTCATGCTCATGCTCATGCTCCTGCTCCTGCTCCTGCTGGCAGTGATGCTCCTGCTGCCGGCACCACTGAAAGCAGCACCATACGGAGCAGCACCCATGCGGGCAGCACCACCGGCAGCAGCAGCAGCAAGGGTGTCGTGCTGAAAGGTGGAAAAGGCGACGGGAGGAGGAGGTGGAGGGGAGACATCGGGGCCGAGGAAAGCAGCAACAGCATCAAAAGCATCGTCATCAGCGGCTGGGAGTGCTGTGTACGCATCCATGCATGCCGGTGGGGTAGGGGCATTGGCAGGCAGAGGGGCAGCAGCAGCGGCAGCTTGCATGTTGAATCGCTGCTGCATGTTGCCTCCTCGCATTGCATGTGCAGGCACAAGGTCGCAGAACATGTCTGGTAGATCCACACCGCACCCTCCGCTCCCTGCTGCTGGAAATAACCCCTGCTCTTCTGAAATAACCTGCTGCTGATCTGGGAAGGCCTCTTGCTGAACTGGCACAACGTCTTGATGAGCTGGCACATCGTCACCCGCCGCTGTGTAGATGACATTTGTTTCAAACATATTGGCTGCAACGGCCGGCGGGGCGAGGCAGCTTGTGCTGCCTCTGCCGTCCGTGTTACCATACATATCACCCGGAGCAGGGAAGGTCTGCTTTCCAGCTCGCCAGCCTTGCAACTCATGTGCCGCCTGCTGCTCATAACACTGCGCCTGCTGCAGCAGGGAGAGCTGCTGCTGTTGCTGCTGCTCCTGCTGGTAAAGCTGGGACTGCTGCTCTGGCACGTGTGGCTGCTGCTGCTGCTGTGCTGGCACCTGCAGGAGCTTCGGTGGCAGCAGCAATGGCTGCTGCTGCTGCTGCTGCTGCTGCAGTTGTTGCTGTGCAACAATCTCCTGGAACTGCATCCGTGGCGTTTGTGACATCTGCTGCATCTGTTGCACCGGCCTCATCTCCTGCACGGTGTTCATGTGACTGGCAGCAACGACCGGCTCACTGCCAAGGATAGCGCATGCAGCACTGCTCGTGCAGCCGCTGCTGCCTATACCGAAAACGGGAATACCACCAGCAGCGCCGGGACCGCCAGCAGCAGCAGCAGCAGCTGCGCCAACACCAGCGCCACTGCCGGCCAATACAAGAGCCTCGGATGTGAACGCTGGTGCCGGGGAGGCGAACAAAACAGGAGTATTGACTACTGGGAGCATTTTGCCGACTTGTTTTACTCCAACGCATGTGTCTGTAGCGGGTACGGATGCGACCCCGTGCAAAGGTGCACCACTGGCCACAACCCCTGCGGCTGTAGCGCCAGCTGTAGCAGCTGTAGCAGCAGCAGGGGTGGTGGGCAGAGCTGCGATCCCTGGGACCCGCTCCTCCGCGCGTATAGCTGTAACCGTATGATTTCCAATCGTGGCCGTTGATGTAGCAGCTTTAGCGGCATCTGAACCGTCGGTTGCGGCCGCTACAGCTGACTCAGCTGGCGTAGCCGGCAGTGCTGACGTCGCAGCGCGTGGTTCCGCCGGCACAAGCGGCGGCTCGCAGCACAGCAAGTCGACAGCGGCTCGCCCGCCATTGAGCTCGTGCGGTCTGTCTTGAGCTTTGGGCTGTGCTGTGGGTTGCGTTGAGCGCTGCGCTGTGTGCTGCGCTGCCTCTTGCTCCGCTGCTTCCTGGCTCCTCTTCAGTCGCTTCAGCGCCCTCGCTCCTTCCGCCTCCCCCTCGCCGTCACCCTCCTCTCCGCCGCTCCCAGCCTTCTCCTCCTCCTCCCTCTCCGCTATCGACTCATCCTCCGCCTCCCCTTCCATCTCGCCTCCCGCCTCTCCTTCCGCCTCCGCTCCCGCCTCCGCTTCCCCAGCCTCCGCGGCCTGACACGTGTCCGGTTTCGGTTCGTCCACGTCATCAGGAAAATTCAGCAGCGCTTTGGCGCCTCGAATCTCCCGCGCAGCCGCGTCGTACGCGCGCGCCGCCGCTTCCGGAGAGTCAAACGTTCCCAGCCACACGCGCCCCTTTCCCCCAGCATCCCGGATTTCCGCCGCCCATCTCCCCCACGGCCGGTAGCGCACCCCACGGTACGCGGGCACGGGGGAGCCATCCGCCGCTGTTGGGGGAGGCGGTGGCTGGCTTCCCGGCGCCTTCGCCTTGCGCTTCCGCTGCCCTTGCGCCTCCGCCTGCTCCTCCCCCCGCGGCTTTTTCGGGCTCCTCCTTACGCCCAACCGCCCGCCAGCAGCTGCGCCTGTGTTTCCGCCGATGGCGGAAGCGGGCAGCAGCACCGGAGTCATGGCCCCCGCGAGGCCTGCGGTCGGCGCACCCTGCGGCGCAAGTTGCGGAGTGACGGCTGGGCTGTCACCGCCAATCATCTCCTGAAGGGCCTGCTGGACGCGCCCCGCCACGAGAAACGGCTGCGGTGATTGCGGAGCCGATGCGGAAGCAGCGCAGAAGAGCTGCGGCGATTGTTGCGCAGAGCCGAGCGCGGAGTGGGACAGCTGCGGCGACCGCTGAGTCGAGCCTAACTGCGCGTGGAACGGCTGCGGGCTGGCGGGCGGCGGGGGCGCGGGGGAGAAGCGCGAGAGTAGCGCGTTCTGCGGGAGCAGCGCGCTTTGGAAATGAAGGGCGCTCTGGGGGAGGAACGGGTGGGCGGGCGAGCCAAGGCGCGGGGCCGGGGACGGCGTCTGCGCGAAGCAGTATGGGCGCGGGGGCTGAGGCGGAGTGGGGGGCGTGATGTGCGGTTGCGGGGAAAACGGCGGAAGCGGGGGAAGCGGAGAGGAGCTGACTAATGGATGGGGCGGCTGCAGCGATGGGCACGGGTGTGATCGTACCGAAGGGCACATGGTCGACTGTACGCGATGATCGTTTCTATCTAGCGCCGTGTGGTAGGAGGGAGGTAGCTGCTGCTGTGATTCAAACGGACCGGCGCTTCCGTGAACTATTTGGTGGTATTGCGGCTTCGACGGTGGCGCTGTCGCCATGGGGTCGAGCGAGTGACAAGCAGCCGAGCCGTACATGGCTGCGAGTCTTGTCCAGGTGTAGGATCAGATGGAAGATATTTGCGGTTTGGGATCTTCTGACGACTGAGTGTAGGGAACTTCTGGCCGTCCACTGTCAACGTGCGAAGGCAAGATTACGCATTTGCCGTATATTAGAGTCTAAAAAAGAGGGGCGAATGGTCTATGCTGGTCGCACGAGGTCATGCGTGCAACAGTTGAGAGAGGTCGATGTGTTAGGAGTCGGATATCGAACATTGTGAAGGCGAAGACTGAATTGTGTCTGGTTAAATAGCACCGACCGCCGTGCTTGGGTTGGGGGAAGGCAGGGGGGGGAACGAAGAGCAAACCTGGACTTGGGGAGTCTGCCTGCTGCGAAGCTGACGTGCCAGTTACGGTTGCCAGCTAAGAAGCTGACTCTAAACCGAGTACAACCGCGTCGCGGCCCGACAACGCATGAGCGCAAGAGAGGTAGGTGAGCAGGACGGGCCAAGAGAGAGGGGCGCTGCTGAGTCGCCCTAATGTCAGGCCAGGTCCGAAATGGCACGAGGAGCAACGCACGGCAAGGGCCGTGCGTGGGAGATGGATATGAGCGCTGTTTTTGGCTCTTGCTGTGAAATTGTCCAGATGATGTTGCTGTTGCTGCGGTGCCTGAAACGATGGGGCGGGCTCGAGCCAATTTCAGATAAATCGCGTGCGGTGCTCCTGGAACAGAACTGCTCGAATCGCGAATTCTAAATTGGATCCGAACCGCTTCTGGAGAATTAGGACCCCGCCTAAATCAAATGTCGGAAGGAGCACGACCTGGAGTTCTTATGCCACGTGGAGGAAGTCAAGTGGTTTGATTCTCCGTGAAGTGCGTAGCGCTGAGATGATTGGGGCAGTGGACACCACCGGCGATCCGTGCCGGGCAGTGGACTGCTATAGTACTGTCGCAAGGAAGTCGTTTCGGTCGCATGTGACTCGTTTGAGTCGCAAAGGCCGCTGGGTATCTTCGCATTACGCTTGCTCTGCAAGCAATGCGTCGCTGGACGACGTCGCACGCAACCAGAACGTTCTAGGTTGCTCCAAAGCACTTTCCTTTCAAGTTGTAGGTGCTGCTGCAAAAAGGCCAAGTATGTGCTGGTGTAAGGAATTTTCTCGATATTCCTTAGCGCACCCTGCAACATCGCGTACAGCAGCAGCCGTTGTTCGCCCGTTACTGCTAACGGGGCTTCGCAGACTTCGCGCGCACTGTTCACCAAACCTCGCACTGCTGGCCTGGCCGTGTCGGCCTACGCTTCGGGACTAGCCCGAGCCTCGCTTCCAGCATAGCACTAGCTAGCTCGCACGCACCGCGTTACCGTTTGCATGTTTCGTGTATAAATGTTCCCTCATGCCTTCGCTCACATTTTGTACTCGTTTTGACACCTTAGTGCAATTCTCGCTACTTCGATTCATTGCACCCGTAACACTTGGTATTCAGAGCCTCTTTCCTTTTCGGACCGCGCATCTCCGCACCCCAGGAAATCAACTTTTGTTTTTTCACTCGACGGGACTCACGTACCTTAGCACCTAGGAGCCGCTGTCCTCGCGTTCTCTCGTAAACGCGTGCAGCCACGACTGCGCCTAGACTAAGACGAGCCGACGCCCTTCGAAATGGCTGAACATATCGACGTCACGACTCTCACACAGGAACACTTGAACGATCTGCTACGACAAATCCGCGAGAGTGCCGAGGAAATCGCGACGCTACCGGCAGAACGCTCGTCCCTGCAAAATGACCTCACACGAGCACAATCCCAAGCACCTGGCACTCCGATTCAGCCCGCACCACAGGCATCACAGCACGGAAGTGTGGGGCATCCCGCGAGCGCCGCAAGTGATGGCGTCGTCCGCCATGACAGAGACGACGACCACGGCACGACACACCCCGACGCGACGAATGCGGCCAGGAATCAGCCTCGAGTCACGATTTCAGTGCCGGCCAACGAATCAGCTTTTCCGTCGCCGATGCCGCTAAAGCCGCAGCGTCCGCCATGCTTTGATCCAAGTCAGCAGGGTGGTCCTACCGTTCAGGCGTGGCTCTTCACGTTGAACGTTTTCTTCGACACTACGTCTCAGAGGATACGGCGAAGATTCGTTACGCCGTGTCGTTGCTGCGAGGACCCGCCATGGACTGGTGGCGCGTCATCGTCACGAAGCCGGTGGACTACGCGACTCTACCAACACGGGAAGGACAAACCGGACCCTGGGCGCCGTCGTATTTTGTGGAGGTGCCCCAGTATCGCACGTGGGACGCGTGGTGCGCAGGTCTGCGCGCTCGTATCGAGCCAATTGCGGCTTCGATCGCGGCGCGACAGAGGCTCCGCACTTGGCGGCAACTCGGTTCCGTCCAAGACTACACGAGTGGGTTTCTGTCGCTATGCGAGCAGGTGGGATGAATGCATGAGAGCGAGCGCATCGACCGCTACATCGGCGGCCTGAAGCAGGACATCGCTCAGGAAATCCAGCTTCGCGGCGTCACCGATTTTCGGGAGATTCTCGCCATGGCGGAGAAACTCGATTTCTTCCGCCGACCGAGACCGGGGTCCTACGGAAGCAGCAATTGGGGACATCGGCCTTGTGGGACAAGCGAGGGCGCTAGGATACGTGCCGTCGCCGCAAATGCCGCTGCCGCACCGTTCAAAGGGCGCTGCTTTGCGTGCAATCGGCCGGGACACCGCAAGAGCGAATGCCCGGAAAACGCTAAGGGAAAGGGGGAAGCTGAGCAGCAGAAACAGACCAAGCAGCAGGGAAACGCTGGGAGTCAGTAGCAGACGGGCCCTCTACTGACACGTCACGCCGCTCGCCCGACCCAACCGACCCTCACCGAGTGATTGTGCCGGTTCACGCAATCGGCCACACCCGGAAAAATAAGGAGGGTACCACGGTAGACAGCCCTATACTACTTAGTGGGAAATTTGGGACTGACTTAGTTAAAATACTCGTAGACGGGGGAGCCAGCCACAGCCTCATCAACACTGCTACAGCATGAAAACAGCGACTGCCATTGGACAGATGCTTACCTGAAATCGACGCAAGATTGGTCGAGGGCACGCCACTGGCGATACGGGAACATGTGGACCGAGTTCGGATTCGATGTGGGGGTAACATCACGTTTAGCCAGGAAATGCTCGCAACGACCCTCGACGGAACCGATAGTTTACTCGGGCGTGATTGGTGTGAAACAAATGAGAAGAGGAATGAATAATGACTAAGTCAGAAATTGGTACAAATAACAAACCCTAGGAATCTGTACCCCATATGTGCTACCCCACTACAGCCTACAAACATGTATCAGCTATAATGTTCTGACACACCCCCATAGGCAAAGTGGGGGAGAACAAGGGGTCACAAGACCAGTCAAGCAAAGCAAAGCAAGCTCAGGGTGGATCACAAAGTCACCACACAGTCCGAGCACAAGAGCAGGGCCAGAGGCCAGTTCACATGCAGGAGTACAGACATATATATATTACTAGACAAGCAAGAGCAGGTATATATATAGATCACAGTACAAGTGAAGTCAGGAAGAGAGCAAGTGAGGCAAGACAGGCACAAGACCCAGCTGGGTACAGAAGCGCTGATGGTCACAAGGCGCGAGTGCCTTGGTGAACACATCAGCAGTGTTGGCCTCAGAGGCCACGTACGCAAGTCGCAGCTGACCACGCTGCTGCAGCTCACGAGCAAGGAAGTAGCGGAGAGCAATGTGCTTCGTTCTGTGCTCCAGACGCTGCTCTCGACACAAGGCCAGCATGGCCTTGTTGTCTACGTACAGCACTGGAGGAGAACGAGGAGGCTCTCCAAGGTCAGTCAGCAGGTAGGTGAGCCAGCGAAGCTCCTGTGCAGCCATGGCCCCGGCGTAGATCTCAGCCTCACAACTGGAGCCGAGAACCGAAGACGAGCGAGTAGACCGCCACGAGACAGAGCCGGAACCAAGGCTGAAGGTGTAACCCTGTGACGACCGCTGCGTAGCCTGGTCGTCAGCCCAAGAAGCGTCCGCGTGGCCCGTAAGGACCACTGGACTCCGCCCTCCAAGCACTAGCCCCATGCCCGACGTACTGCACAGGTAGCGCAATACCCTCTTCGCTGCAGCCATGTGCTCAGGTCGGTGTCTCCCAGGAGCAACATAGCGTGCAAGAATGCTCAGAGGGTATGCAAGGTCAGGTCGTGTGCAGGTCATCAGGTACATGAGGCAGCCAACAAGCTCTGCATACGGGCCACTCGACTCTACGGACTCATCCGAAGGCAGAGCTGAGAGCGAGTGGCGAGTAGGCAGAGGAGTGGCCTGAGGCGAGGAGTACGTGAAGCCGAAGCGCTGAAGGACCTGCTGCACCATGTGTGACTGAGTCAGGGTAATGGTGCGGCGTGCTCTGTCCCGAGTGATCTGCAAGCCAAGGTAGCTGCGCAGTTCACCCAGGTCTGTGCACGTGTGTCTCTTCAGCAGCTCAGACTTCACGTAGGCGAGTCCAGCAGTGTCCGCTGTGGCAAAGACCAAGTCGTCGACGTACACGAGGATGTAGAACGGCGGCAAGGAAGTGTCGGTGCGAAGAAACAGCGACGGGTCAGCAGTGGAAGGAGCAAACCCAAGAGCCGCAAGCGTAGTCCTCAGTGTGTCGTGCCACTCACGCGGTGCCTGGCGGAGACCGTAGACTGGCCGTCGGAGGCTCCACTGGGTGCCAGGAGGGAAAGTCCCAGTGAAGCCAGGCGGACGGCGCAGCCAGATCTCCTCGTGCAGGCTACCCTGCAGGAACGCAGTGCTGAAGTCGAGAGAGTGAAGCTCGTAGTCGCGCTGAGCGGCAACGTGCAGCAGCACCTGAAGAGTAGTCATCTTCGGGGTGGGAGAGAAGGTCTGAAAGTAGTCAACTCCCTGCCGCTGACTGAAGCCACGAGCGACGTAACGCGCCTTGAAGACAGGCGGAGAGCCCGGCGGCCGCTTCACCCTGAAGATCCACATGCCACTGACGATGTTCGCCCCAGGAGGGGGAACTGCGTCAACGTAG